TGAATCTGAAGGAGAAGGGCCCAGACCCCTGCCATAAGGATATCACTTATCCCAATAAGGCCAGAAAAAGGAATCTATTGGTTGCAGGGGATCCCAAGGGAAACAGGGTGTGGGAGGTCATACCTGGAGAAAGAGTTAGTGTAACCCCTTGACCATCAGGGCTCAAGTGTCTCTGGGGAGATACTGGTGCAACTATCTCCTCTGACTCATCCAAGTCAGAGAACTGTTCCATCAGTAGTGGCAGAGCGATCAGTACCATGGCACTCTTGACAGATGATTGGAAATGGGACTGCTCCTGGGACATTGATATGGACTGCTCCTCCGAAGTTAGGACATTCCTCAAGAGGGCACGATTGGAAAGAAGTGGAGACTGTAGATAAGGGAGGAATATATCCTCCAGTATTATGTACGCCTCCGTAAACCCAGGTGTCCAAGGGCTTCCAGCAGTCAAGTCTGAAGGACTTGGTGCATCTGCAGCAGCCAGACCGTCTTTAGATGAACAAGGCAGTGCCAACAACAGATCCAGACCAGCACTTGCAGATGGAACTGGCCAACATCTGTCCTTACGCTTTGGTACTGAGGTGACCAACAGAACCAGCAGATCTTTCCTTTTATATGCCTTTCCCTCCAATCTGATGATCTTCTGCAGAGTCAATTCCTTAGGTTCTGTAAGCAACATCTCACCCAACCTGGGCAGTCTCGGGGCGGAAGCACATTTGCCCATGAGAGTTCCCTAGAAGAGGAGTTGTTGGGCTTAAATGTAGAAGGCTCCACTCCACAACACATGCAAAGGCACTGCTGGTCAATTGAGGCTGATGTACCAGGGTGGGAGGGTCTCCCTAGCCCAGATCAGAGAGGGTCCTCATAGCCTTCTCTATCAGGTGTTTTTGTAGGCGAAGCTCCCAGGCTTCTGAAGTTCTGGGTGGGAATGAACGATTGACACTGCACTTTGCAGCAATACATGTGCCTCATTCAGACAGTACAGGCACCATTGATGTTTATCACTGATGGAGAAGGAGCAAGGGCAAGAGATGCAATTCTTGAATCCCAGGACTCTGGGCATAGTTCTGGAGCCAAGGAGTGGTTTCCCAACTAGAGGGAAAGAAATACTCTATGCTAACTATAAACTTTCACTACTAAGCTAAGATATATAATTAGTTACATTTTTTTCTTTGCAGGTTATACAATGGAGTGGAGGAGGACATGATTCTGACTTAGTCCATGCAGCAATAAGAAGAAACTAAAGAGGTGTCAACCTGCACTGTCTATTAAACCCTTTGTTGGGAGCACAAGGAGAGCTACTCCGTGTGTGAGGGCCAACAGACACTGCTTTGAAGAATTTCTAGACTCAGGGACATGGTGTGCAGGCATACCCCCACGTGTAGAATATACATAGAGACCATTACTCCAAGAAGTAATGAGATTGTTTAACTCAGAAAGGAGATGAATAACAGGGGACATCATAAATGTATATGAAATAATGACAGGTCTAAGGAAGGGAGATTGGGGCCTTCTGTTCTTCCTGTCCCATAATAAAAAGAACGAGGGAACATTCAATTAAAGGTGGCAAATTCAAAACTGATAAAAGATTTCTTCACACAATGTGTAATTAGATTGTGGAACAAACTGCCACAAAATGTCACTGAGGCCAAGAATTTAGCAAAACTCAGAGTGGGATTTGACATTTATATAGGCAAGTATCCATAGCTACAATAGTTAATGACAACAAATTTATGTATGGATATAAAACGTCACACTTCAGGGTTTTAATGAATCTTTAACTATTAGGGATCAGGAAGAGACCTTCATGGGAGGCAGATTACCCCACATGTGCTACAATAGGATTTCTTGCACCTTCCTCTCAAGTATCTGGTGCTGATAATTATTGGAGATATGATACTAAGCTAGATGGACCTGTGGGCTGATCCATTCTGGCAATAACTATGTTCCTATTCTAAAATCCTAGAAACAAGATTATTCTCAAGTTTCTGATGTGCTGTAGAGCACCTAACTGCTTGGAAATAAAGAAAAACATATTCTCTGCCTGGATCAGGGATCTTAGCATAACTTACTTTCCAACTAGGAACAGCCACAGCAAACTAGCCAAGAAAAGTGACTTTAAGACAGTGGCCCCACCCAGGAACTCTCTCCTATGGCAGGATGTGCCATGACAGGCACACCTGCTTCAAGTTCCCCTCAATCTAGCCATGAAAAGAATATAATCTCTCCCAGTGTCCACTTAAAATCCCACCTCTGATCATAAATTATTCAAATACACATGCAATAATCCACAGAACCCTCATGATAAAACTGTTTTCCCAGTTTCCAAAATAAAACATAAAAATGTACAGGGATTTTTCAAGGGAGGTTGTGGAAGCTCCTTCTCTGGAGGTTTTCAAAAGGAGGCTGGAGCCATCTGTCTTGGATGGTTTAGACACAACAAATCCTGCATCTTGGCAGCGGGTTAGATTAGATGACCCTTGCGGTCCCTTCTAACCCTATGATTCTAAGCTTGACACCCATGAGTCCACCAGTACTTGGTTCCCAGTTCCTTTCTGCCCTTGTTCCACGGCCACCCACTCTCCAGGATATCCACCTGTGACTAGTTTCAGGACTCTTCTGCCCACAACATGGGTCAGTGACTCAGCCATTTTTATCCTCCTGGCATTGGCTCTTCAGTTCAGGAAGGTCAGCAAATTAGCTCCTGCACTGGCTCCCAGCTCTCAGCCCCTTTCAGTCTCCCACCACTGGCTTTGTACCTCAGGTAATCAGCAAACGAGCCCCACTTCCGGCGTCCTACTGTGCGCTCCATGTCCATAGGCAGCGGCAGCTCCAGGCACCAGCGCTCCAAGTGCGTGCCTGGGGTGGCAAGCCGCGGGGAGCACCCTGCCGGTCCCTGCGAGGGCGGCAGTCAGGCAGCCTTCAGTGGCATGCCTGCAGGAGGTCCGCCGGTCCCACGGATTCGGCGGCTATTCGGAGGCGGGTACGCGGAAGCCGCAGGACCGGCAGACCTCCCGCAGGCATGCTGCCAAAGGCAGCCTACCTGCCGTGCTTGGGGCAGCAAAAAAGTTAGAGCCGCCCCTATCCAGAGGCGCCAACTCCGTGGGTACTCCAGGGGAAAAAAATGGTGGGTTCTGAGCATCCACCAGCAGCCCCCCCCCCACCCGATCAGCTCTTCCCCTGCCCCCAGTGACTCCTGCCCACTGGCAGCCCCACCGATCAGTGCCTCCCACCTGCTGCGATCAGCTGTTCTGCAGGGTGCAGGAGGTGCTGGGGGGAAGGAGGGAGGAGCAAGGACGGGGTATGCTCGGAGGAGGGCATGGAATGGGGCGGGATGGGTGGGGTGGATCAGGGGCAGAAAGAGGCAGGGCAGGGGCGGGAAGAGGCAGGGTGGGGGCGAGGCCTTGGGAGAAGGGGTAAAGTGGGTGGAGCTGGGGAGGTGCAGCCTCCGGCACATTAGAAAGTCAGCGCCTCTGCCCATGTCACAAGCATAGATCTTTCCAGCAGGCTGGAGGAAACTATAAAGAGGGGAAGTGACATCATCACTTAGCCTCACTCCCCTTACAACTCAAAACCTGGAAACACGTCTAGAGGACAAAGACTTTGAACTGGGGAGGGTGGTCCCAGCCTGGAGGAGAATTCCAGCCTGTGTACTGAAGATCTGTGACCTGTTTATACCATCTACAGTAACTCCTCACTTAACGTTGTAATTATGTTCCTGAAAAATGCAACTTTAAGTGAAACAATGTTAAACGAATCCAATTTTCCCATAAGATTTAATGTAAATGTGGGGGGTTACGGTCCAAGGAAATTTTTGGGGGGCAGACAAAAAGCATTATATACTGTACTGTGTTGGGAGGTGCCCCTTGCTTACCGCACACAGGCACAGCTAGGAAGTACCTTGCACAGCAGCAGCGGCAGCTTCCCCCCAGAAGAACAGATGCCAACTTTGCCGGGGGATACTCCAGGCCCACCTCTTCCCATTCCCACTCCACCTCCTCTCCAGAGCATGCAGCGTCCCCGCTCCTCCTTTCCCCTCCCAGAAAGTCCTAAGCACCGCCAAACAGCATTGCAAGGGAGCATTGTACAACTTTAAATGAGCATGTTCCCTAATAGAGCAGAGACGTAACTTCGAAACAACGTTAAGTGGGAGGACGTTAAGTGAGGAGTTACTGTATCAGGGTGAGACATGGCTTGATTCAAATCCTGTTTAGTTTATAGAACTCAAATTGTGAATTTACTTTTATTTCTTATGTACCAACTTTGATCTCTACACTTTCTACTTATAATCACTTAAAATTTATCTTTCTGCAGTTAATAAATCTGTTTTATATTTTACCTAAAGCAGTGTGTTTTTGTTGATGTGCTTGGAAAATCTAAGCTCAGTTTACAAAGGCTAGTGCATGTCTTCTCCACATTGAGGGAGGAGCGGATTGGGTAATGAACTTACACTGGTCAGGCTTCTGACGAGCGCAAGACAGTACAATTCTGGGGTGCAAGGCTGGGGAGCTGGGGAGAACTGGCTGGAGCCTCTCTATTGTTGGTTCATGAATGGCTGAGCGAAGCATTCATATAACTCAGTTGGGCGTGCCAGTGCCTGTGGAGGTCTGTGTAAGTGCTGCCAACAGTGTGAATGATACGCCAGGTTGGTGGGACAGAGGACTCAGCAGTCCCACAGTCCAGGTTGCATTCGGGAATCCCAGCACACCTACCCAGTTGCTCCTCCTTCTCAGACAGCGCCTGCAGAGCATTCTGCTCTCTGATAACTGTCTCTCCCAGGCAGCTCTGACCTGCCCCCCTTTCCTGTCTCTCAGGTTCCCCTTGACTCACCAGGTCTCTTCCATTTACAAGTGCCCTCCTGTAAAACCCAGTTGGTGTGAGCTGATGAGTCACAGGTGCACTAGCCCCACTCTCTCTTAAATGGCAAGTATCACCCTAGAACAGTGATCCTTCTTTTTTTTTTTTAAAGCAAAGAACAAAGACCCTCTTTGTTCCCAAACCTCATAGCTCTTGGCAGCTCTGTCCCACAGAATGATGTGCAGCCGGTTCAGTGTTTCAGGTGACAGCTGTTTTCCTGTATAGTGACCTGAGAAGTGATTAAAATTAAGCAATTACAAGGTCTTAAATAAAGAAGAAACTATTACCTACCGTACAGTAAAA